CGTCCCGAGGATGCCCAGCGAGCATGCGCTTTCGCTGCCCTGGGGGCACCTTTCCAGGAAGATGCGTGCAGAGCCCTTCCTCCCCCGCCCGCCGGGTCCGAGCCCAGCCCCAACTGGCTTTTTACTCTGGTTCCCCTGGGGACAGAGATCGGGCCTCAGGACCACCGGCCTCCCACTCGACCCCTCCCAACGCCGGGCTCCCCAAGGCGGACCTGCAGTGAAACTCGGCAGTGACTCACAGTTGCAGACATTTCTTTCCTGGCAGAAGGTGGCAGGCTGCTGCTGGCCTCGTTCCCCGCGTCTGAGAAGTCAGAGTTGTGGCTCCCGAGTGAGTTCACAGGGCAGCCTGCTCAGGATCCCACCAGCCCCGCCTGAATAGACCCCTCCTCCCTCTCCCCCCTCTTCCAGCTCTTTGCAGCTCCCAGCACAATGTGAGCACCGACTGAGATCTGCAGGAACAGATCCCAGAATTCTTCCCCAGTCCAGTCTTTCCTCTTAGCCCCAGTGAGCACAGGAACATGCTAGGGGCCAAAGCTATTTACTTGGCCTTCGGGGCTCCAGCACTGCTCTATGGGGGCCCTTGAGAGGGTCTTTTAGCCAAAGCAGACTTGGTAGATGTGGAGGAGGGGAAAGTATTTCAGGCAAGTGGAACAGTGGCTGCAAAGGCACTCAGCACAGAAGAACGAGGCATATTCCTGGGCTCTGAAACCCGTGTGTGCTGTCCCAGGGTCCTTTCTGTGCTTGGCTCTGACATTCCCAGCCACGCTTGGACTCACTGGTGGTGTCCTGTGCATCTAGAGCTCAGAATTTCCCAGGATGCCCCGCCTGGACTATCCTTCCGAGTGGGTCTCTCTGGTTTTAAGGACCCCACCCCCCTGAATCCCCACAATCCAATATTCTTGCAAGAACCCAGGCTTCAAAGACCAGGCGGTCTTATGAAGCTCCTTCTCATCTATTGGTTTGCCAAACTCGAGCAATTTCCAACCAGAGGGAGAAAAGCAGCAAATTAGTTTTGATAACAATTTCAGGAGAAGAGCAGGAAGAATCATCTCTATTTTGTCCTATTTATGGAAGAGTTGCAAAGGGTTTCTTTCCGTGAAAAACACAAAACCTTCCTAGGTCCTCTGCAATTTATGCCTTTCCTCTCTGAGCCACTCGGACACCTCTTTGCCTTCTAATGTGAGTCCCTTACCTGGGTCCCACCTTTCTCCTCCTTCCTCCAAAGCACCTTGCTCACACTTGTGCAGCACCAGCACTTATGACCCACCTCCTGGTGGCTTCTCGAATCGCTTCCATTGGCACCTTCTTGCTTCTTTATTTCTCCCTTCATTTGACCTGCTCCCTGTTCTTGGAAGGGCTTCTTTGGAGCATGTCAGTATCCTGTTCTGAATGTTATTTGGTGGTTCCTCTGTATATTGTTGGGAAGCTCATTTAGATTTCTTCCGCTGGAAAACAACACCATGCCTTCCTGTTCCAGAGTATATTGACAAAGCACGCCTGAGCCAGGGCTGCTGTCCTGGATGTCAAACAGTGTTGTAGGTTCACGCACTGACACGGATACAGGTGGTGGGCCACTGGCTTGGTCTCAGCAGCTTCATGCATCATTGAGTTAAATCCAACTTTGGAACATGCTGGTGAGATATCGAGAGTGTGGGATGGTTTTGTGAGGAGACAAGAAATTACAAATTGCAAAACAAAATGGCACAAAAACTAGTATCTGGTCCCACTTCAGGTCCCCTCCCAGAATCCTCCTCTCCGCTCTCTGTCTGCCTCTTTCCTGAGCAGATCCTGATCTGGCCACCCCGTCCTCCCCAGCTTGGGTTCTCAGCAAATCCAAGCTCCGAGTGCTCCTTGCTTCTGAAAAGGCTCGGCGATCACACGTCACAGACGTGTCTTTCCCTCGGTCAGTCACACATGTAGGATGTGAATGTCATGTGTACCCTGGGCTGAGAGTCTGAGCAGTTGACGTCCTGTGATCCCAACTCTCTGCTGAGCCACATGCGTTCTCTCTTCCCAGGAGTCCCGAGCCTCTCTGGAAATGGAGCTTGTGCCCACAATTCACCACCCCTTACCCACAGTCCTACAGCCCAGGAAGCTCTAAGACCAGAAAGCAGCAAACTCGTTTAGCAGCAAACCCTTGGCCTGAACCGAGGCTCTGTCTGGTCTCTGGTGGCCTGTGTGCTTGGCTGCAGGCGCTGCTGTGGACTTCACCGGGCCTGCTCTGCAGCGTCAGGTCTGTGCACCTTCTTCTCTTTGGGAAATTGGAACATTCTGAGTCGCAAAGCTTCCCGGGAGTTTGGATAAGGGGGTTTGGACCGTTCAACTTCTATGTCTGTAGATGCGCTGAGCACAGAAACTGACCAGCACTGTGCCTGATTCCGCACAGGTCCCCGTGAAGATCCCCCGAGTGAATGAGTGGGGTTTGTAAATTCACACGACTGCTCAGACTTCCATGTGCCTGAATAACTTGCTCATCAGTTAAGACTGAGTTCCTAAATGTCCTTCGATCAGTTTAGCCCAGGCCCTGCGAATTCTGTTGTTATTGTTTTGTTCTCAGATATTTTTGCCTGGGAATTTTCCCATCTAAGATCTTTCTCGTCCGGAGGAGTGTCTTCTTGTTCGCTCTGTGGAAATTGCTCTCAAATCTTTTCTGACTGAGTCGCAAACATGCCAACAAACCCCCATGATCTGATGGGGATCCTCAGTGGGCGTGGAGGCGGCCCCCGCCCTGCCGACTGCGGTTCCGTGTCAGAACCCGGGTGGGCGGGTATTTGACGGAATCTGCGGTGAGCTGAGGATGGCTTCCCTGATCTGCAAGAGCAAATCGCAGCTATTTCACACATTTGCAGGTATTTTAAGATGCAAACTTCACATTTACAGTATCTTGGATTCCTCCAATACTTATTGAGAGGGGAGCTCCATCATGTTTATACTGAATGTGGGGTGTGTTCTAGGGTCTCCCAGACCCCTCGCCCACCCACTTCTCAAGCTCTGGTCCTCAAACTCCACACCCCTGGGACCTCTGACGCAGATGACTGACTGGTGACCTTGGGCTTCACCTTCAGGACCCATTCCTCCCCCTGGGTCTTGGCCAGGGTCTTTCTTCTGCGGAGCCACCCCCTTTGCCTGTTGCTCACTGTGGGGTGGGGTGAGCCCCTAAAGTCTCCGCCCGGGCTTCTTCCCTGGTGACGGTGCAGTGATGAAGGATGGGCATGAGGGGACACGAGGAAAAGCTGGAGTTTGCTCCGGGCACAGATGGGACACCAATGCTAGTTGCATATTTCCCCCAACCACAGTTAGCCAGAAACACACCCACAGAATTTCTCTAGCAGCTCCCTGAGCTCGGCCCTTGCAGAACGGCTGCTCGGAGAATCCCATGTGCGTGTTCACTTGGCATCTGGCGAGCTGTGGTCCCACCTAGTGGTCAGCGGGAGGTAGCCCGGCTCAGAGGGAGGGGCAGGCACTGCCTGTTCTCTCCTCTGGGCAGAAGCCTGGGAATCTTACCGTTCATCCTGATTCGCAGGGGCCCGGCAGTGTCAAGGCCAAGGTGTGAGATACGCAGGGGAAGGGGGATTGGGAGGGGGAGAGGGCGGGCTTGGCACGTGCGTGGGGGGGGGGATGTAAGCGGGGGTGTGAGACGCGGGGGGCGTGGCAGTGCTTGTGCGGGGCAGTGCTGGGCTGAGAGGAGGAGATGCCTTTCAGTGGTTCTCAACCTCCTGGCCCTTTAAATACCGTTCCTCATGTTGTGACCCAACCATAAAATTATTTTCGTTGCTACTTCATAACTGTAATGTTGCAACTGTTATGAATCGTAATGTAAATATCTGATATGCAGGATGGTCTTAGGCGACACCTGTGAAAGGGTCGTTCGACCGCCAAAGGGGTCGCGACCCACAGGTTGAGAACCGCTGCATCCCACGCACCTGGAACGGTTTTCTTAACGTGCGGGGTAAGTCTTTCAGGTACACAGAGAAGGTCCCTCCAACAGCTCTGTGAGTCCTCACGGTTGTCACACTGGCTTCCTGCTTCTTTAAGGAGCAAAACCACACAGACGCAGGCCGAGCTGCCCTACCCAACACCAATCCACCCTCCCTGCTTTAAGGTTCTCAGGGGCATGCTGCACGGTGCTGTCAGGTGCCAGGGTTTGGAGGTGGGGCAGCCTGGACTGGGCTGGGTGGGGCGTGCACAGCTGGGCCCAGCGCTCTGAGAACTCCCCAGAAGCAGAGGGTTGCTTATTTCCTAAGCTTCTCAGTCCCTTTCAGCCTAATTTGCATAAACTTCTAATTTAGGGGCTGGATTAGCTAACATGAGCGCGACTTTAGGGAGGAAATGGTGACTTTGAAAATGCCCACAATATTCGCCTCGGGTGATGGTGAGCAGGAAGTTGCTAATGAAATAATTGGAAGTGGCCGCTCCAAGTTTCCCCGGTCAATACCGCTGACATCCTTAATTTGGGGTGACAGCTGGGCTCCATGGGCATCTTGACAGGCAGACCTACCGGAAACAATTATTTTACAGTTAGATGATTACCATGCAGGCATTCAAAGCTTCCAGAAATTTCTGTTAGCTAATAGGCTCTGGGTGCATGGAAATCGTGGTTTCCAACATCCGAGGGGTCTGGACATGTTTGGGGAGCACAGCCAGGTTGCTCTGTGCAGATATTTGGTCAGAATGTGGACTAGAATCTTGGCTCCTCTGCTTGTTAGCTGGGAGGCGTGGGACAGCTTACTAAAGCTTCAAGAGCCTCAGTGTCCTGGTCTCTGAAATGGGCATAATTAACCCTAGCTCAGCAGGTGCTGTGGGCGTGTTAATATGATGAGGCTCAGTGTTTTTGTTGCTGTTTTTGGTGGGAGCAGGGGTGAGTTATCTCCTGCTGGGCAGAAGCCTGGGAACTCTTACCAGTTCATTCTTGAACTACAAGGAGGAAGTCCAGGAGGGCCTCAGCGGGGGTTGCCCACCTGGAGAAAAGGCTGCCTTCTTTGAACACACACACACACACACACACACACAGAAGAAGCCAAAACCATGTTAATTTTTTTATTGTTCCAGTCATAAAAAGGAGGAACACCTCAATATGTAAACAGTTTCCCTAACACAGCAAGTTCTTAAAGATACAGGTTTTATTCTAAAAAAAAATTGGCATTGTAATAATTTCTCAATACATAGTTTGTGCTTTTGCATTTGGCATGCTTTCATCTCCATGTCCGTGCACAGACGTACTAAGAGTTGAGCAAAGGGAGTTACAAAAGGACCGAAAGGTGGGTCAGGAGCCAAACCTTACCGGAGCCCTGCCTGGCTTTCCTTATCTAAGAGCGCGGTGGGAAGGGCGGTGGGAAGGGCGGTGGGAAGGGCGGTGGGAAGGGCGGCGGGAAGGGGGGCTGACTTCAGAGCCAACCTCAGTCACGGGGCGAGAGGGAGGCCAGAGCCTGGGTGGGTGTGTGCGCTCTTCCTCCTTCCTTTCGGCTCATCTCTAAAGGAGCACTGCCCCTCGGCTGAAGCCTTGTTTTGCCATCGTGTTGGTTAATATCTGTAAGTCTCCCCTGTGTAACCCTTGTCTTATGGTTTTGCTGGGCATGTTGTCTACTACTCAAGGCTGTAGAAATTCCACCATTTTTCTCAGATTCGCTGAATCATTTCAACCCACTTGACAGTTTGGTCAAGGAGATTTGGCTTTCTTTCCACTGAAAGATTATTATTATTATTACTAGAGGCCCGTGCACAAAATTTGTGCACAGGTAGGGTCCCTAGGCCTGGCTGGCGATCAGGGCTGATCTGTATCTGTGGGGTAACCGGCGGGTTGATCAGGGGACCTCCCCTGGCACCCGCCTTAGCTAGCCTGGGGCCTGTGGTCTGGGGGCAGCTCCTGCGTTGAGCGTCTGCCCCCTGGTGGTCAGTGCGTGTCATAACAACCATTCGTTCTGCCAGTCATTCTGCTGTTCGGTCGATTTGCATATTAGGCTTCTATTATATAGGTTTATTTTTCCTGAAGACCCACGAGCGTTTAAGCACTTGGGCGGGCTTGTGAATGCATCTGCTGTGACTCTCCTGCCCGGCCGGTTCCTTAGCCCGGAGCCTGAGTCCCCTACAATCTCACACCAGTTTTCAAAATGCACATTTTATTGAATTCTCCAATTAGCCACCCCACCCCATCCCGCCCCACCCAGGCTGGCCTCGGCACCACCCAGACTCGCTTTGTGTGCGTCTATCTTTGGACCCTCTCCCCGGCTGGCCCCTCAGACGGAAAGGAAGGCCCTCTGTCTTGGATCTCCATCCCCCAATGCCACCCAGCCGTGAGGAACCTCAGGACAAACACCCTTCCTTCCCCAGGAAACCATCCGTGATGGCTTATGTGGAGGCTGACCTGCCGTCGCTAAATTTCAGAACAGTTGTCCTGGCCTCTTAACTCGGTTGCCTTATTTCTGAGACGAGTAAGTTAACTTCCCCGGTAGCCCTCAGGGTCTTCCTCGGTAGAGTGGAGTCGGTGTTTGCTCACAGGGCTTCGGTGTGGCTTGAGGCCCTCGGCACAGAGCTGCCATGTGGGAGAGCTGGCAGCCAGGAGGCTGGCGAGGAAGATGCCACTGCTCCTTAGAGTCCTCCCAACAATCTGCCTAGGACAGTGGTCGGCAAACTGCGGCTCGGCAAACTGCGCCTCGCGAGCCACATGCAGCTCTTTGGCCTCTTGATGTGGCTCTTCCACAAAATACCGACTTCTGCACATGGGCCACGAAGTTTCAATCGCACTGTATGTGCGCGCCCGCACGTGGTATTTTGTGGAAGAGCCACACTCAAGGGGCCAAAGAGCTGCATGTGGCTCGTGAGCCGCGGTTTGCCGACCACGGGTCTAGGACGTCGCTGCCTATAGGTGTGTGGGGACCAGCCCGCAGTCCAGCCAGTGCAGATGGTGAGCAGAAGCCAGAGCACCAGCCAGCTCTCAGAGTGCCGAGTGGCGCTCTGTGCTGGTCTGGTTTTCCCGGGCTGCTTGGGTCCCTGAGAACAGAAACACGAGTGCGCACCCGCTCCCAGCTTTGGCGAGCTTCATGCTCCTTGAAAACAAAACATTTTACTTCTCTAGGCTGCGAGCATTTTACCAAAAACTCCAGTTCCCCCCAAAAATTTCTGGGCACAGTGCGGAAGAGCAGGTGTGTGTGCCTTGTTTCTTTTTAGGAGATGTGTGTCCTCTGGGAATGGGGACGGGGACGGGGACACCAGCGTGCACCCAGAGGCACCCGCCTGCTGAGCCAGGCCTGGGGAGGCCGGGCTGTGCTTGGTTTAAAAGGTTCCTGACAGTTCCATGTGTTGGTAAGAAAGGAACTTCCAGGTCAATGGAAACATGAATGTCTACACACATGCAGCCCTCAAACTAGACTCAGACTCATCTTCCGTTTCACGGAGCCAGCATTCAAAAAGGCCGGGAAAGTGTAGGCGCTCCTGTGGGCTTTTAACCTAGTGAGGAACTTTTCAGAATAATTTTCTTTCTGTCTCAGGAAATGGCTCACAGGACAACCTCATATTTTATGGTCCGTAGTAAATATTTCAGCCTTAGTGTTGTGCTAGTTTATTAGGAAAAATACGATGAATTGTCTTTCAATTATTAGTGGAAAAGAGGGATATGGCTGAAAAAATCAGTTGAATTAAAATATTACGATGGCTTACGGTTTTTGCCTCCTTAGCTCTGTGCTGCTTGGTTGAGTATTACTTTTTGTTGCTTGGGCCCTAGGTGTTCGCTTCAGGGAAGGTAGCGCTGGATTCAGGTGAAAAGGAGTTGCCAACAACCCGCTGGAGCTGACCGAGCTGTTCATAGCGGCCGGGAGAGGTAGCCACAGCCTTGGCCGGGTGGCTCAGCTGGTTAGACCATCATGCAGATACACCGAGGTTGGGCATTTGATCCCTGGTCAGGGCACATATAAGACTCAAACAATGAAATCAGGTTTAAAAAAATAATTTGTAAGTAAACATTTTATTTTATTTATTTATTTATTTATTTATTTTTTTGTAAGTAAACATTTTTAAATCACTTTGGTTTGTAGTTAGGCTTATTATTGGAATATTGTGTAACTATATTTGGGGGCCAATTTTAATCTTTTAGGCAGAGTTGAATGATTAATACGGGCAGCTCTATGGACATACGTTAGATCAGATTATGTGAATTTAGTTTTGGGATCTTTTTAAAAAGATGAATATGATTTGGGTGTGGAAATAAAGAATAGCTTTTTTTAGGAGCAGTTTGGCCACCGAAGGACATGCCATCCTAGGAAGAAAGGGCAGGAATATCCCGCACGTGGCATGCTGAGTAAGTACCTGTTTGCCTGGGCACTGCCCATATCACCTTGGTTTCCCCAGGTCTGCAGGTGGAGCGGGCCTCTGCCAGTCCTCAGACCCCATGGAGGGGTCCAGGCTGACAGGCTTCAGGTTGCCACGGCAGCAGCCTGCAGGCCCTGGGTAGCCAGGCACCACATGGGTGCTAGGATTTCTCCCCGGAGCACAGTCTGTGCAGACAGGAGGAGAGGGGGGGAGTGGAGTGGGGGAGACTACTTTGCCAACACAGGCAGGTATTTGTCATCATTTTGGAATCCTGGAAGGTGTGAGCGCTTACCATTGTCCCTGGGTGGCTCTCGTCTTAGATATGTCCCCGGGATGAAGAAAGAACTCAGGGCCATCTTTGGCGAGCCCCTGCCTACGCAGATGTTTCAAGGGACAAGAAGATTTCTCTGCAGAAGTCCAGCTGGCCTTTGGCACAAGACCTCCCTTACCCTCTGCTGAGCTATGGGCTGGCATCATAATGCCCAGCCATCACTCGTGGGCTCTCCGGGTGTCTCTGGGGCAGGTACAAACTCTTTTACATTTTTGATCTCAGGTGGTCAGACTGCGAACATAGTACATGCTCAATTAAAACTGGGGGTGGACAAGAAACGGCAAGAGATAGGAGCAGCCCCAGGAACAGGTTCTTGGCTGCTGCTCAAGGATGGCATGGGCACTCAGAAGAAGGTGCCGGGAAAGACAACTCTTGGTGGTGAGCAGAGGGAGGGGGTTCAGAAAGAGGCGCTGGGCGTGCTTGGAGGACAACCTGCAGTGGGCTGAAGTGTGGGCTCCTGGAGACACGACCAGCTGCGTGGCCACCCAGAGTTCCTTGCAAATCAGGAAAGGCTTGGCCTTGCTGTCCCCGTTGGGTGGCTGTCAGAGGAAAGGGAGGGGTGCACCATTGCTTGCCCAGGGCGGCACTTGTTTTGGTGGTGGGGTGGGTTTGAACAGACCCAGCCCCTGTTCTTAAAAGGAGGGAGCAGGGTCAGACCATCTGGGGAGATGGCTGGGGTCATCGGATGAGCCAACTGAGTTTGTGCACAGGGCATCATGATGCCCCAAAGTGACGATTCCTAGAGTTTCAAGAATGTGACTTGCGAAGGGGAATAAAAGGCTACAACAATCGCCATGGGAAAATGAGACCTTTTTTGGACTTCCTTATACTTCATTTATGCATCAGTGTTGTTGGACTTTAACTTAGTGTGGGAGGGGCAGCCCTGTGCACAGGGGACTCAAAGGGTCTACACTAGTTCCTGTAGGGAGAGGTGTCTCCCTGACCCAGGTGGGTGTTCTGTGGTGTCAAGAGTGCTGGCCACGGTCAGCTTCAAAGACACAGGGTTCCCGGAAGACATTTCTGGGGGGCGGGGGATGTCATTGTTTAGATGGGCAGGGACCAGGCCTGGAAGAAGAGGCTCGCCCAGAGAGGTGGGCATGGCCAAGCTTCTGGACAACCCAAGGCTGAGCCAAGGGAGGGCACTGTTCCTTCCCCGTCTCACGGGCAGCTGTGCCAGAGCTGATGCCAGAACGGCACCTGCTGGGCGGACCTCAGGACAGCGCTCCTCCTCCTCCTCTGACAATGCTGGCCCAGGACCGGAGGCTCTGGTCACGCACAGCGGGTGGCGGCCCAGCTCCGGGCTCCGCCGACCCAGCTCTGTAGCTGTGTGTGGCAGTGAGACACCCCACATTGACATTCTCCGTAGGGCCGTCAGCCAGGTCTGGAGTGTCGGTGGTGAACGAGGTCTGATCTTAGGCTCCTGGGCTATCTTGCTTCTTTGGACGGATGTTTTATGATTTCTTAGACATGATGATGAGTTCCACATCTCTTTCCCCAGTGTCTGCTACTTACAGCCCTTCCTATGCTTATAGAGAGTGGCTGGGTGATAGCACAGTATTCACGCCCAGTGTGAGCACAGGGCTTTATTCTGAAAATGCTCCGTTTCATCTGTCAGTAGAAACATGTCATTCTCTGAAATCAGGACCTGTGGCCTATGTGGTCACACTTCTCTGGCCAACCACAGAGCACATTAGGGTTCGGGCCTATGGGGAGGGGTGGGGAGCGTCTAAAAATAAGCCTGCAAGTCCCACGGTCACTGGTGATCAGTCTCCATCACTTAGTCACGTTGGGACCTCAGTGAACCCATCTGGTGTCTTGAAGTATTTTGTCCCCCCTCACCCAGGACTCTGAACTAGGTGGAGGCCGGAAGCTTCCTTTTACCAAGGCAATGAGGCCAAGTAAAAGTTTGACTCCTTTTGCATTTGTTTGAGTTTTATGGTGGTGAACTTGGAGAGTTTCCCCTCCCACTGAGTTACCGGGGGTTCCGTGCCGCTGCAGGGCTGCAAACCTTCTGCATGATCCGTGTTGCAGACGGCCTTCCCTAGTTTCCGACCCAGGAGCAAGTCCACCTCAACTTCCATCATGTATGTGTTGGCAATACAACATCTCAGTGATTTGTTACAAATATTTTCTCTCTCACGTCATTTCTAGGAGAGCGCTTACGAGGAAAGTCGATGTCGTTTTCAGTAGAACTGAAGCGGGAACCACTGGGCCTGGCCGACCCTTTGGCTTTGGAAATGCTTCTTAGAAGCCCAGAGGCTCAGCTCAGTGACACTGAAGAGCGAGTTTCCTCTTGACTCATCGCGAAGCCCCGCTGTCCGGGCCCCTTCCATCCACCACTTCCGTCATCACCCATCTCTGCTGCCCCAGCCTCAGAAAGCAGCGGGCAGCCCAGTAACCACCCTTTCCTACTCTCGCTTCTCCTTTTCCAAGAGAAGCATGTACGTCCTTATTTGCATGTTAAGCTTTTCACTGAGCTACTGGAGGGGGCCAGACTAGTGCGCGTAACCCCAACAGTAGCTCAGGGTTCATCTATCACGTGGTCACTGCAGGCGGGAAAGGGGGGGTGGTGGGAGGGAAGGGGGCACCAGCAGGGACACAGCAACGACAGCTCAGAGGTGAGTGCAGTCCTCCTGCCAGAGAGCAGGGGAGAGAGGGCTGGGATGGGGGGGGCAGCTGGGGCTGCGCGCTCCCCTGCAAGCCCAGCTTACCCCACTGAGGCCCAACTACATAGTAAAGTGTCTGTGGGTCCCAGCGAAGCTCTAGCCCGGTCCCTGCCTGGGAACCACCATTTCTGTGCTGTTCAGTAGTGGGTAGTGTTCCCGCCTCACTTTCTGAGTTGGCCGCTGGGTCCCGGCTGGCTGTCCCTCTGCTCACCACTCTGGGGGGCGGGTTCTGAGAAGGAAGAAGTCTTTCTTTGAGACCTGACTTATGACTGGGCTACCACAGTCCTGTGAAGCAGTTGGCCGCTTACCAAAAAAAATGTGTATTTTTCCCCTTTGAACAGACCTATGGGTGGCGTACAGATTTATCCTGGGAGAGAGCATATTGTTCTAAGTTGTCCTGGCATCTCTTAATACTGCAGCATAATGCTTACTAACTAATAGTAGTTACTGGTACGAATAGCATTTAGTAGTATGTACAGGGGCCAGCAAACTTTCCCTGTAAAGGCCAGATTCTCAATATTGTAGCCTCTGGCTGCATGACCTCAACTCTGCTAGCGTGTGGGAGCAATAATAACGGATAGGGTGCCCGTGTTCCAATAAAACTTTATTTGTGACACTGAAGTGAGAATTTCATATCCTTTCCACATGTCACAAAATAGTCTTCTTTAGTTTACTTTCCCCCCAACAACTTAAAAATGTCAAGCCATTCCTAGCTTGCAAGGCTTCCAGAACCAGACGGCGGCCAGGGGCTGGGAGCAGATCTGCTTTGCGGACCCTTTTTGTAGTAAAAAGAGCCCAGGGCTCACACCTTGGCACCTGGATGGGACCGGGGCCTGTGGTTCGCAGGCCTTGTGACCCAGGGGCCAGGCCGTGCTTTGCCTACTCCCTGGATTTCCATTTATAACATGGAAATTCTAGCACTCAGCTCCCCGAGGGGTTAGAATGAAGTGGGGTAGTTTGAGTAAGTGCTCAGACACGGCGCGCAGTAGGGCATAATGTCGTCTTGTTACTGTACACACTGTGCTTCATCAATGTCTCTAGTGGCCTGAGCAAGCTCTACTTCCAGATGCCACACTGCGTCTGCAGCTCCCCGGACAGCAGGGGCAGAGATAGTAGGAAGAGGCGTGCTTTACTCCGTTTTAATTAAAGGGTAACATGTCCGTAAGTATAGGTTGGCCCTAAAGTCTAGAAACAAGATAATATTATCAATGAATTGTCTGTGTTGGCCGTTTTCTGACTTCACAGCCATCCACCGGAAGGAACTCCTGGGAGAGAGTATCTACCGTGTCTGCAGGACATTTCATTTCCAACTGCCCTGTTGTGAACCACAGCGTACCACCCAGGCCGAGGAAAGGAAGACTGAAGACTTGTCAGTCTGACGGCGAGCTGTCTTGGAAAAGACTACGGATAAAAAAAATCTTGAATTGCTCAGCTAACCAGATGATTTCACATTCTTGCGGCGAGTTCAAGTATAGTTTCTAACAGCATTTCTATAGCCTTCTTCTCTATCCATCTTTACAAATAGTTTCTGAACCTCCCTACGATACCTGCTTAAACTTAAATTTAAAAAAAAGCAAAGGGGGAAAAAAGTAGGAAACTGAAATATGAGAAAGTGTAGGGAGGGAAAGCATTTGGAGACTTCAACATTTTGGCTTTATGTGAAGTCATAAGTAATTTTGAAATTAGGATGTAATGGAAAACAGACATTAGCACCCTCACCTGGTTAAACCTGGAAGAGGAAATTGTGCTTGAGAGTCAGGTTGGCACTTTCAGGGACAGTAGCTGATTTCGGAGAGGAAACACGAGTTACTGAACTACGGGAACGGATCTGGGACTGGAGGAAAGAGCACAGGAGAGGGACGGATGGAGGAGGGGTGGGCACAGGGCACCTTCTCCTGGACCAGTGGCTGGGATGCCGGGTTTCCAAGGAACAGCAAAGCGATGACCCGGCACTACCCAGGATGTGCTCATTGCCAGGGGACACCCAAGACACAAACAACTGTGCAGCTACACGAAGCGGACACAGGTGAAGAGGGCTCTGTCAGTGGGAACGCCGCTGGGGTGGGCGGGAGTGAGAATCTGTGGGTCTCAGCACCCTGGGGTGGGCGGGATTGAGAATCTGAGGGTCTCAGCGCCCTGGGGTGAATCCTCCCTTTTCTCCAGATCGGGGTCAACTGGAGCAAACGGCCACCTTTGGCTCAAAGTGCTTCTCCAGCGAATGGACCCCCCATGGTTTTATGGAAAAGAGACTCCAATACACCAACCAGACACCACAATACCAATCGAGAGTGATTCTTATTCCTTATGGGTGCTGTTGCATTAAAATAGGCTTGTTTATTTTCATCGCACTTGGTTTGCTAACAAAGTGGCCGAGGGAAGGGGGTCTGGATACGGAGTGTGGGGACTGGAAATCGTGGGGGCATCTTTGTGGAACTGTCTTAACGGAAAAACACCATTCAGTACTTGCTGCTTAGAAAATCCAGTCTTAATGAGCTTCTTTCCGTTCCAAATTTGAACAGTTGACACAAAATACACCGTTAAACTGTTATCAATAATTGTAGAAAAATAGACATGTTTGCGCGGGACATTCTAGTAAAAGGGTCTTCTGGAACATCCTCGTTGAGAGACTCAGAGGCTCACGTTACAAAAACGAGATTTGGTTCATGTTCTGTCTCCAACTACATGGACACCAAAGACAGTGGGGATAGGGAGGGCCTCACCCCGGGGGGGCCCTGTCACCGTGACAGAACCGACCGCCATGTGCGTGACCAAGGGCTGTCAGGCTCTTTGTTCAGTTGTGCTAACGGGCCCCGAGCTGCTGTTCCCACCAGACAACAGGGCGTGTGTGGTCCTTTAAGCCTTAGTAACTGTTTTAAAAAGGCCCAGTGAGTCTTCAAGAGCTAAATTAGCAGACTTTTTGCAACCCCTGCTCGATTTCGCTTTGTGCTACCAGGCCACGCCCTGCAGCTCTGGGGGTGCTGTAGGGTGAGCGCCCAAGAGTCAAGAGCGCCCTGTATAAGGCTACGTACGTACGTACATGGAGGAAAGGCCACAATCCCTCCCACAGCCTGGCAGGAAGCGTGTGGGGCTCCCTCCTCCTCTTTGACTGCAACCTCCTCAGAGTGTGGAAAGAATAAACGATTCAACAGATATTCAACGCAGAGTGAGATGTTGGCAAACAGGAAGGGGCTATGGCCAACAGGTTTGTTCTCCAGAAAGTCAGTGCCAAGAAGCAGTTGTCCTGATGCAAAGTCTTGGAAATGGGAGAAGAGAGGCCCCGTGATAGACTGAGGAGCCGCTCTCCTTATCTCCCACACACGCTTTTTAGTAGACAAGGTCCCTCCACTATGGCGAAGGCCTGGGTGATCTGGTGCGGGAGAGCAAGGTCAACAGGGAGGCACGGCTAGTTTGAGTTCTTGGACTTCCTCGGTGCAGAGCCTCAAACTGAGCACAGCTGTGGGAGCTGACAATGAACTTGCCTCCAGTCAGTGGATATTGATGATGGGCGACTGCGTTAGGGAACAAACAGTTTAAAAGAGTAAAATTAATGTGAAAGATCTTCACAGTGCAAAATTTCCACCTGCCCTTGACGTTTTCATGTAAGATTCTCTTTCTTTATTTGAAAAAAAAATTTTTATATTGAAATTTAGATTATCAGTACAAAATACCACCCTCCCTCTTAGCTCTCCCTCCATTCTTTCCTTCCTTCTCTCCTCTTTTTCTTCCTCTCTATGTCTACATTTATCTTTGCAGATTGAAATGAATTAAGGCTGCAGTTTTTTTTTGTTTTCTTTTGCTTGAACACTTTGGATTTGATTTCAGAATAAATAACAATGCAAGAAGCCGATGGATAAGCCCCCGGGTCAGGAAAGAGTGCAGGATAAAGTCAGTGTGTGAGGTCAGTGACACTATGAGCCTTTATGAAGTTCATGACTCCAGACCCAACCATCTTCTGCTCACCTGCCATGTCTCCTTGTAAAAGTCTGTAGTTTCTCGTGACTACGGAATGGAACCGCTGGAGAATCAGTGGTTTTGCAGAAGAGTGTCCCAAACTACAAAGGGTGAGCGCTCGTGTGAAAAGCATGAACATGTCATTGGTGACAAGCCCGAGAATGTCCTCGGGGAATTCTTCCCCAGGCTGGTCAGTGAGGCCCTGGTTGTCTTAAACAAGAGGCCTCAGTTTGTAAACATTTCACAGTATATCAGTGTATTGGTGGTGCGTTTTGCCATCTGCTGGACCTCCCAACTCCCCCCAGACCTATGGCTTATTAGATTCAACGAAAGGATCAGTGAGGGAACAGTGAGGTACCTGAACGGGCTGCCAGTCTGGGACACAGAACAAAGGCCATGCACGAAAGGGCCAGCAGTCAATGGGATCAAAGCAATTCAGAAAAAGACATCAGAACGGAAATGCCTACTGTACAGTGAGAATCTTTTTTCTTTCATCTTATTTCTAAAGTTATATATCTAAACCTACACTAATTATATATCTATGTACATTATTTAGAAGTTGTGTTCTACAGTACTTTTGTACATGCTGGGTTTTATTAATAACTGCCAAAGAAAATACTTACATAAGGCATATATATGTACAGTGTTTTGTCTTTGCCTCACCTGGGTCCTACACCTGTGATGCCCTTGGGGGGCAAGCACCTGCCCTGGAGATGAACTGTGTGGGGATCTAGGAAAGTGAGGGCTACCCTCTGTGTCTCACTGCAGGAACGAACAGACACTGGGCCTAATGTGTATCCCAGGTCACATGTTCGCCACACTCTTGTGAGTGATCTGGTCTTGTACAGCACATGCAGGTCAGTAGCTTAAATCTCTAGGAGTTGGGTGTGTGGAATTTAGGAAGGAGACAGGCTTGGGCCATCAACGAGGGCACCTTACACCTTAACCAAATCGTGTCTACCTCTTCAATCAGAGTAACTGAGGGAGGGCAGGCAGAGATTTTACACCTTGAAGATTTGTTTTCTGGTAATGCCAAAATTAAATACAAATAAAGGAAGAACAAAGTAAGAGAGGCAGAAAGCAGGAGGATGAGAGACAAGGAGAGGTTGGGGGGACAGGGGAAGGGGTGGCCTGGCCAGAGGAAAGGTTGTGGGGACAGGAGAAGGGGCGGCTGGCCTGGGGAAAGGTTGGGGAGGAGAGGCCCGGCTGGGGGACTACACTTTGGACTCGTTCTCGAGGTTGGCCACATCACCATTCCTTTCTGTTTGCTCCTCGAGGTTCTTTTCTTCCTCTTCGGTCTCCAGTTCCGCATGTTGGTTGAGTTTGCTGGACACAGACCAACTGAGGGGCAGCTCTGCCCTGCTGGCCAGCTCAGCCAGCTCTTTGGCACTGAGGGAGGGGGTGCTGGTCTCATAGGTCTCGTGGAAGCTGTTGTAGTCGACTTCATAGAACCCGTCCTCCAGCGTCAGGACCGGGGTGAACCGGTACCCCCACAGGATCTCGCTGGTGATGTAGGAGCTCCGAGCTTGGCATGTCATCCCTGCAGAGGGAAGAGCGGAGGCTTTAGTGTGAGTGTGGGCTCTCTGTCCCCAGGGGCCCTTGGGGAGCTGGGCGGGGCTGCTGCCTGCGGCTGTTCCAACTGTGACCTGCATAGGGTGTCACAACGATGGAGGTGCTGTCCATGTTGTAGACACACGCTAGCATGCACGAGAGCGTGTGCTGGGGAGTCCAAGCCTCCCAGGGGCGCTCAGGGGAGCAACGTGAGAGTCTGGCTCTCATCAAGCCACACTTGCCCGCCAGGCCACACACAAACACACGGGCCCAGGTGCCCGTGCACAAGGTGCCTATGCACACAGGTGTTCATGCACACAGGGGCCCGTGCACACAGGTGTTCATGCACACAGGTGCACACTTATGTGCTCTGGGAGAGCCCTGAGGTCATGACTCTGACCTCCCCCACCCCAACTGTGCCTAAGTCCTACCGGGACCTGAGCCAGGAGTAGCTTCTTTTTAAGTGTGAAATGACAGACTGAGGGAAACGCCACCCGCCTCCCGAGAGAAGACTAGCCCACAGGCTTGGTGTAAATACAGGGAATGCAATGGGCGCGCTTTCCCCGCCATCTCTGCAAAACTACTCCGGACACGGAGGCGTCCATTCGGTCATTCCTTCAGGGTCGACTTCTCTATTAGCTGCGTAGGCCCCGCTCCCACGGCCCCACCGCGAAGCCGGGAAAGCCATGGAGGCAGCGAAGGGATCTGGAACAGGCACCGAGCAGCCTAGGGCCAGGCCCGCACGCCAGGGACTCAGCAGGCAGAGCCCATGTTTAGATTCACAGCAGCACATCAGGTGGGAGACGTTTTGTGCCGAATGCCAGCGCCATGAAGCCTCCTCAAGAGAGAGCCTCCTTCCCCCTTGCAAAGGCCAGAGGAGTTGCTCAGCAGGTAGACAAAGGATCAACATTTCCGAGAATCTGACTCCAGCAAAATAAAAGTGGTGGGCCCCTCCCCCCTTAGCGTCCTGTGAAATTAATCTGTTGCCAGTATTCAGACCCCAGGACTGCACTGGAGATGCTCTGGGCTTATTTTTAATTTTTTTTAATGTTTAAAATGTTTTTAATTTTTAATTATTTATTTACTAGAGGCCTGATGCACGAAATTTGTGCAAGAGTAGGCCTTCCTTCCCCCAGCTGCCGGCGCTGGCTTCCCTCTGGCACCCAGGACCCAGGCTTCCCTCACAGCCCTGGTTTCGTCCAGAAGGTCATCTGTAAGGATGTCCAGTCTAATTAGCATATTTCGCTTTTATTCTATAGATTTTTTTTTAGGGAGAGTAGAAGAGAGAGGGAAAGACGGAGAGAAACATCAATGTGAGAGAAACACATCGATTGGCTGCCTCCTGCACCAGCCCTGACCAGGGCCCGGGCGGATGAGGAGCCCTTGACCCGGGATCCTTTGGTCCACAGGCTGATGCTCTGTCCACCGAGCCACACCGGCCAGGGCGAGAGTTTTCACTGCAAATGCTAGGCTGTAGGACGCGACCCTCCTTCACTCTTGGTCCTCACGCTCAGGAAGAGCAGCCCTGGGCTAGTGCGGTGAGAAAGTGCCGCACACTGTGCTTCGGAGTCTCTGTGTGGGAGAACCCGGGTGGCCCGTGACGTTCTGCCATCTCTGAGGTCCTGGAAGAACGCTCCCCTCCAGCAGGTCAGTGCAGCCCGTGCTCCTCACTCACCCGGAGAGCCGCCTTGGCCCAGGTGCATGGTGCCGCCAGGGAGGGCTGCTGCTCCTTCTGTGGCCCACACATTGGCGGGCCACTGGGACTCACCACTAGCTTCGCAAGAACAAGTTGAAATGTCTAAAAAGGCATCTACGTGTGTGTTCCTAATTCTACTCTCGCCAAGTAGTTGATGAATCCACAAATTAGGTATTGAATTAAGTCACAAACACCGTTTATCAGTGTGCGTTGTATGCCAGGCGCCAAACGCTTTCTGTGCCTGGGCCATCACATCCTTACAACAGCCCTCTCTGGTGGTGCGGACACATCTATTTTGCACAGGAGCAAACTAAGGCCCAGAGAGGTTAGTTAACCATCCTGGGTCACACAGGGTTATGGACTGAACTGTGTGCCTTCAACATTCGTATGTTTAAGCCCCAACCCCCTAACGTGGCTGTATGTGGAAACGGGATCTTTGGAGAGGTCAGTAAGGTTACATGAGGTCAGAAGGCGGAGCCCTAATCCAATAGGACTGGTGTCCTTGTAAGAGGAGGCGACACTGAGAGCTCTGTCCTGTGTGCACAGGTGAGGCTAGGCGAGGACACAGCGAGAAGGCGGCTGTCTGCCAGCCAAGCAGAGAGGCTCCCCCAGACACCAACCCTGCCGGCACCTTGATCTTGGAGCCTCTGGCTTCAAGAACGGTGAGAAAATATATTTCTGTTGGTTAAGCCACCCCGTCTGCGGGCTGTGATGCCAACGCAGCCAACTAACCCCAGGGAGAGTGGACCCAAGGCTCTAGTTTAGTGAGTCGGGCTCCACAGCCCGGGCCCTCCATCAGCACACTATTCGCTTTATTTTTGAAGACAGGGACCATGTGTTAATGAGGATCTTTATAGCTCCGGTAAGTGCCCCCACTTACATTCTACAAGATAAAATGGGGTGCGGACGAAGCAGCGGGGCCCAAGCCGCTGGGGTTGGACCCTTGCTGCCCACCACACCTGCTCACCATTGCCAATCCCCGGTCCCCCCTCTCTCCCACCTGCCCTTGTGTTCTTCTACCAGCTCTCCTTCTAAGCCTGTGCATTTTTTTTCTTGTCTTCTGCACAAGTGTGTTTATTCTTGACCAAATCTGGGGCACTGCTCTCTAGGAAGTTGCTTGGAGACACCAAGCCACCTCCATCCCTTTTTAGCAAAATCAGGGAGAGTCCCAAGTCCAACGGCAAACCCCAAGGTTCTTCCCAGCTCTCCCAGGCGGTGTTTGTGTCGCTCTCCCCCAGCAGTGAGCACCCGGCTCCCTACACTCCGTAGATGTCTCACTGGCTCTACCCCACAGGCACACACAGCAGTGTGGGGATGACCACGTCCAACACTCTACTGGGGACTTGCTGTGCCAGACTTAGGTCTCACAGGAAGGAGCAGATGCTGGTTAGGTTGACACAGAGAAACCCATGCGACTCTCCCAGCCCGACCAACCAGGACTGTCAGATGCACTTGAAGGCCAATCAGGAAGCTTCCTGCTTCCAAAAACTCTACTCTGACAGAACGCCCATCCGTCAAAGACTGTCTTAAGATTTCTTCCTTTTGGTCCATAAAACCTACTTTCCTTTGAAAGTCCTCCGAGTCTCTCCCGGAAGGAGAGCGGCAGCAGCCGCCCCTCTCGTCTAAGGACGCGGCTGCTCTCTGTCCTTTTGACGCCATCAACCGCAGGCCAATGAGGTCAAATTCCAAACGCCTGGGCAGCTCTTCCTAATCTTAGAGCATCCCCCGGAGGTGGGATCCCCAGAGCCCTGTGTCCGAGTTACTTCCTTCGTGGTTCTTTCTAGGTGGCCACGGTATCCATTTCATACCCAGTCAGTTCAGGTGTCCCTATCTGTATTTCACTGGAGGGTTTAAATGGTTCAGAAATGAAGGCAGCATAACCAGATGCATTGAGAAAAGCCTCATTCCCACCCTGCCCTCCCACCCCACGGCCCCGCCTCCTCTGTGGCCATCACCGCTCTGCTCGCTCCTTTAGGATCCCGGACACACTGCTGTGGGGACCGCGGGCTTAGCATCTACACTGCAGACCCCGCTAGCTCATGTCCCAGCGGCCACGCGAGACCGAGACCCGCGTGTCAGGGATGAAGTGGAAAATACAAGTGAGGCCAGAGCAGCGCGCATGGCAGGAGCGCAGGGCGAGCGAAGGAGGAGGCAGCGGCGGGTCCCCGGAGACAAGCGGGACTGCAGTTAGTTCGGAGGAGAAACGGAGAAAACCGAGATCTCCTGCGAATGCCTTCGCGGGGCGGCCCCTGACATGGGCGCCGACCGACTGACCGTCTGTGAAAAGCTTTCCACCTGCTAGAAGGTGCAGCGAGGAGGAGGGCGGGAGGCGGCCTGGAGGCCCCGGATGGGGCGGCGGGGAGAGACTTTTTGCTTTGCTCGCAGAATGGATGGAAAGAGAAAAAAAACGCACCCGAATACTGTGCTCATTCACGGGGCGCCCCGGGACGCGAACCCGAGATGCTGAGCCCAAAACATTCTCGCTGGCGCAGGATCCCCCTACTCGGGGCGGCAGGGACTTCGGGGGCCGCCCCCCCTCCTGGTACCGGTGGGGAAACAGAGGCAGCGTCACCAGCCCAGACCGCCCGCCCGGACCCTCCCCGCCCGGAAATGCTGCGCCCGCGCTTCAAGCACAAACACCTCCCTCGAGCGCACAGGAGGGAGCCGGGAACGCGCCCAACTCCCTCTCCCCGAGAGCTGTCCCCCAGGGCCAGGGCCAGGGCCAGGGCCTGTGTGTCTGTGTGTCTGTGTGTGTGTGTCAGTGTGTCTGTGTGTCTGTGTGTGCGTCTGTGCGTCTGTGTGTCTGTCTGTGCGTCTGTGTGTCTGTGTGGTCTGTGCGTCTGTGCGTCTGTGTGTCTGTGCGTCTGTGCGTCTGTCTGTGCGTCTGTGCGTCTGTGTGTCTGTGTGGTCGGACCCACTCACTCATCACACACACGTGTGGACTGGATGCTGCTCTGGGCGCCGGGCAGATGGGAGGAGCAGACACGGATGCGCACGGCAGCCAGAGAGACGGCGTGTTTGGGTTTAGAGGTTGTTGGGGGTTAG